TGGTGATAGATTTTGATAAATTGGTAGAGGTAATTCAAATTAATTGTTTTTAATCAAAGAGAAGAGCATGTGAATGGAGATTGTATTATTAGATTATTTATCTTGATTTATGTTTAAAAGTAATAATTTTTTTTAATAAATTTACAAAGAGTTGAATTTGAATCGTTATTTTGAGAAGAGAGAGAATATATTTATATGTGATTTGATACTACTGAATCAAAAATCAAAATACGTGTTTAAAAGTAATAATTAGTTAAATTGTGTAATAGTGGAAGTGATGTCTATTGATAAGAGTATTCTAGTAATTTAATATAATAAAATTTTTCTTGATGGTAAAAAAATTAAAATTTTTTTTTCATTAATAATTACTTTATTTTTAAAAAGAATTAATTCCAACTACCATCTAAGTTTAAAAAGGGTAAATATAAAATTTTAATTAATAAAGTATATGTTTACCATATAACTTGTCTATTTTATGTCTAATAAATATATTTTTTATAATTTATGTATAATTTGTTTATGTAGTAGTAATAAATTTACTTTACTATAATTAATTTATACAAAAGTACAAAAATTCATTATTATTGTTTTTTTAACAAGTTTACAATTTAAGATGAAAGAATTAAAATAAATTGAGGGGATACACTTTATAAGTCGATTTTAAGTTGTTGGGTAGTAGATTCAATTGCAGTTCACTTTTATTTTAATATTATTATCCTGTAAATAACTTTAGTTGTCCAATCAATTAAACTAAAATTAATATTTATGTTTTCATATAAATTAATTATAAAATGATGTATTTATTATATTCTAAATTTCTATTTTAAGGGTGTATATCAAAAAATCCATTTTTCCTTTTTTAAGTTTTAAGTTTTTTAGAAAATTGCTATTTTTTAGTCTTTAAAGCAATTCTAAACATTTTTAATAATAAAAAACAATACTACCTCTATGGTTGTATCCAATTTTAATTGTCACATTTTTATGTGACACCTTAAAAGAGAATCAAATAAGGGGAAAATATTTATCAATTGTATGTATAAGCAAAAAAATATTTTAAAATTTTGCTGTTTTAATAAATTTCTAGTTAAATAAAAACTAAAATAACTTATTTTTAAAATAATAATGATATTGTTTTACTCTTAAAATAACTTATTTCTATAACACTTCATAATTAAAATAGCATAATTTTAAAGTATTTTTCATTTTTTTTAACGAATTTAACTGATAAAAACTCATCTCATTAAATAATTCTTAATTGATTTAAAGGTTGTTCATCTAAAATTAATATAACATTTTTTTTCTTTCTTGTATTTCCCATCGATTCCCATATTATTTTCCATCCCAATGTGCCATTGTTTAAAAAAAAAATCGAAAATTAGGAGAGAAATATTACTTAGAATAGTATATGCTAATTATTTGCTTCATCTCAAGTTTTCTCGACCATGTCTTCCTCGTTTCCATCAACCATAATCCCTCTTTCTCTAGCGCAAAACCGTTGTCTCTCCTTAGCCAACAAAACTGCACCATTCAATTTTTCTCTCTTTTAAAACAATGCCCACCTCTCCTCACTCTCTCCTGTCGGAGCTTCTCACATTTGCAGCGGGATCATTCCGACCGCCCCCTTTCCGCCATGGCCCACCAACCTTGCCGGGAATCCTTCTCTGGCCCCCTCTCTGGTGGTGCCACTAATAGCGACCTTGCATGGCCCTTTGGCAAACTCGATGCCATTGATCGAGACGATATCCGGGACACGGCATACGAGATATTCTTCACTGCCTGTCGGTCGTCGCCAGGGTTTGGAGGCCGAAATGCCTTGACATTTTACTCCTCACATGATCATGGTAATTAATGTTACAAATATATATCATATTATAAATTTACAATGATACATAATATTAACATTAATTTTTCGTTTTATTTTAAAATTTATTTATAATATTATATATATTATTTGCATCTATCTACTTAAAAGTATATTATAATTATGTTAATTATTTAAATAATTAAGTGATTATCTTTTTTTTTTTCATTTGAAATAAAAGATTTTAATAAAAAATAATTTTTTTATTATATAATTAAGATAAAAATATATGAATTTAGCCCTTCAATCAATTGACATTTTATCAACTTGACATGCATTTCTTTTTTTTAATAGACGAGCTTTGAGCTCACTACTTAACAACTTGTTAAAAATCGTAAAATTTATCATTTAAATTCTAATTAAAGTATTGTGGATTAAAATTACTGGCGTTTTGTAAATAGGTAATGGGGATGGAGCGGGGAGTCCGGGGTCACCAAGTGGGCGGGTCAACGGGGTGGTTACGACTCCGACCAGTCGGATAAAGCGGGCATTAGGGTTAAAGATGATAAAGAGGTCGCGATCTCGGAGGATGTCATCAATGAGTTTTGGTGTTAGTGGAGGCGGGTCCACCACACCATCCTCACCCGTCCACCATCACCACAGCCACGGCCTTAGCAGTAACTTCCCTTTCTCAACGGTGCCGGCTACGAGACCAAGGCGGCCGCTGACGTCCGCCGAGATTATGAGGCAGCAAATGAAGGTGACAGAGCAGAGCGATAATCGGCTACGGAAGACGCTCATGAGGACCCTTGTTGGTCAAGTACGTGACGTATGATCCATATCTCTATTATTATAAATTTTTATTAATACGAAGTGATGAATTATACAATAAAATATATAAAAATAATATAATTATATTATTAAATTATATTATAAATTTATAATATATTATTATATAATTATTTATTTTTATTTAAAAATTCACTTATAATATTATATATATTCATTTAATAATATATCATAACTATAATTTTACAATTATATGTGATATTGTAATTATAATATTATATAAAAAATATCTCTTTTTTTGTTTCTCAACACTTGCTTGCAAATTTAAATTCAAAATTTTTATATTAAATTCTTAAATTCTTAATCAATTGAGATACTAAATCCCATTTGATTTATTTTTTTAAATTATCTTTATTCCTCAATTTTCATTGTTAATGATGATTAAAGAGCTAACTTTCATTGTTACAATTTTTAATTTTTATTTTTTCTGGACATTTGATTATAAAATATATAAGAAATGATTACATTTCCCTACTCATAAATTCTTAATTATTAAACCACGTTACTGTTTTTAATCTTTATAAGAAGGAATATGAAATGGGTTAGTTCATTTTCATTTAAAGTTTGCCTATTTTGAGTCCCTATAATTTTAAAATTATGCCTTAGACTCTTAAATATTTATCTCATATTTTGTATATTATATTTGAACTCTACTCTCTCTATACACATTTTTTAATTTTAAAGTCATTTAAATTTGTAATTTTTTTATTAAAAAGTTTTTCATTTTTGTTATATTTAATTTTGATTCCTAATTGTAATTCCACAGATGGGTAGGAGAGCAGAGACAATCATTCTCCCATTGGAGCTCCTCCGCCACCTAAAGCCGTCGGAATTTAACGACTCCCACGAATACCACATATGGCAGAAGCGGCAGCTCAAAATTTTGGAGGCTGGCCTTCTCCTCCACCCCTCAATCCCACTAGACAAATCGAATCCATTCGCCATGCGCCTACGGGAAATCATCTGCGGCAGCGACACAAGACCGGTTGACACCGGTAAAAACTCCGATACGATGCGAACCCTCTGTAATTGCGTGGTTTCTCTCTCGTGGCGAAGCACCAATGGCAACCCCACCGATGTTTGCCACTGGGCCAATGGATTCCCACTCAATATCCATCTCTACGTTGCTCTGCTCCAAGCAATTTTCGATATTCGAGATGAAACGTTAGTCCTTGACGAGGTTGACGAATTGCTGGAATTAATGAAGAAGACGTGGTCGACATTGGGGATTAATCGGCCGATCCACAACGCATGCTTCACTTGGGTGCTTTTCCAACAATACGTTGCGACGGCCCAGATGGAGCCTGACCTCCTTGGGGCCGCTTATGCGATGCTAGCGGAGGTGGCCACTGACGCCAAGAAACCAAACAGGGAGGCATCGTACGTGAAATTACTTTCCTCAATGCTGACGGCAATGCAGAATTGGGCGGAAAGGAGATTACTTAACTACCATGATCATTTCCTGAGGGGAACGATTGGCGGAATCGAGAACCTTCTGTCGTTGGCGTTATCTGTTACGAAAATTTTGGGGGAAGATCTTAGAATCACAGAAGGAGAAGGGAAAGAGAAAGGAGATTTCATGGTTGTTGAGTCCACTATTGACCGAGTTGATCATTACATTCGATCTTCTGTGAGAAATGCGTTTGCAAAGGTTCGTAAAACCTCAAGTTAAGTTTGATTTGAACTTAAGCTTGATCTCCTAACTTGAACTCAGTTTAGAAAGAAAGTTATAAAATTTGAGCATGGACTCGAATTTGCTTGTTAAACAAATTACCGTTATACTAAAATGTTAGAAAACAGTAAATGAGTTGCACTCGGAGATTTATGTTCTTGATATTGGATTGTTATACTTTTTACTCATGATTATTAATAGCTCTCTAATACTTGATCTTTTGTGGATGTGGAACAGATAATAGAAAATGGGAATTTCAAGAGTTCAACAATGGAAGTGAGAGATCAAGAAGTAAGTGAAGCTTTGCTTCAACTGGCTAAAGAAACAGAGGATTTGGCTTTGAGAGAAAGGGAATGTTTTAGTCCCACATTGAAGAGATGGCATCCAGTGGCAACTGGAGTTGCTGCGGTGACGCTACACCAATGCTATGAAGTGGTGTTGAAGCAATACTTGGCTGGAACTGCAATGCTCAACAATGAAGTTGTTGGAGTACTGCAAAGATCCGGGAAGCTTGAAAAGACACTAGTTCAGATGGTGGTTGAGGATTCTGAAGAATGTGAAGATGGAGGTAAAGGGATAGTGAGAGAGATGGTCCCATATGAAGTTGATTCGATCATAATGAGACTGTTGAGACAGTGGATTGAGGATAGGTTGAAAAGAGGGAAAGAGTTACTCAACAAAGCAAAAGAAACTGAAGTAAGTGTATTTTGTTATAGTTTCAGCCCATAAAAACATATAAATTGAAGATTTTAATGATTTGTCATATATCCAAATTCAATGTTATGTTGCAGACATGGAATCCCAAGTCTAAATCACAGCCCTATGCACAATCTGGGGTGGAGCTCATGAAGCTGGCTGAGGATATTGTGAATGATTTCTTTGAAATCCCAATTGGGATTATAGACGGTTTGGTGTTTGATTTAGCTGATGGTTTAGATTTTCTCTTCCAAGAATATTGTACCTTCGTTGCGTCACGTGGTGAGTGGTATTGATTTTGATATTTTTCTTTTGTCCTTGCCTGACAGCTTAAACATTTCTTGATATGATATTGATTCTGTGATTTACCCAGGCTCTTGATGTTGTTTTCCAGGATCAAAACAAAATTATCTTCCTACACTTCCTCCTTTAACCAGATGCAGCCGGGGCTCAGCAATCTTGAAGTTCTGGAAGAAGGCTAGCCCTTGCAATGTTGGATTTGAACATGTGCATCAGGTTGGATCAATGGAAGGCCACCATGCTCGGCCGTCAACTAGCCGTGGGACCCAGCGCCTGTATATACGCCTCAACACCCTACATTACATCCTCTCCCACCTTCATTCTCTTGAAAAAACCCTGACCCTTTCCCCAAGAGTAGTTTCCTCCACACGAAACCGCTCTATTAGCAACAATAAGCGTCAGAGCAGCTCATCCTCATATTTTGAAAACACCCACGAATCAATCCAAACTGCCTGCGAGCATCTGTCTGAAGTTGCTGCCTACCGCCTAATCTTTCTTGACTCAAATTCAGTATTCTATGAAAGTCTCTATGTTGGTGATGTAACCAATGCTAGAATTAGACCAACATTGAGAACTCTGAAGCACAATCTAACTCTACTGACTGCTATCCTAACAGACCGAGCTCAAGCTTTAGCAATGAAGGAAGTAATGAAGGCATCCTTTGAAGCATTCATGATGGTTTTGCTTGCCGGAGGTTCTTCCCGGCTCTTTAACAGGTCTGATCACGAGATGATTGAGGAAGATTTCGAAAGCTTGAAAAGGGTTTTCTGCTCTTGTGGTGAAGGATTGATATCTGAGGATATAGTTGACAGGGAAGCTGAGGTAGTAGAAGGGGTGATATACCTTATGGGACAATCTATAGAACAACTAATAGAGGATTTCAGCATTATTACTTGTGAAACAAGCGGTATGGGATTCATCGGAACAGGGCAAAAACTACCAATGCCACCAACAACAGGGCGGTGGAACATGTCAGATCCAAACACAATTTTGAGAGTGTTGTGTCACAGAAAAGATCGACTCGCAAATCAGTTCTTGAAGAAGTCATTCCAATTAGCAAAACGGAGATGAAAAGGAAAGAGAAGTTTTTCTATTTTGTATGAAAGCAAAAACGATTGTGTTTATGGTGAATTTCCAATGCTGATTTTTGTCCAGCTATGTAAAAATGTAAATGATGAACATCAGAGAGGGCACTGATTTGGGATTCACATAACTTAAATATGATATCATCTTCAAGATCTTGCTGGAGGCAAGAGAGACCACTGTACTATTCTACTTTTTTTTTTTAATCTTGATTCTGTATAGCAAGTACAAGCACTATTCATTTTTACTGCAGTATCAAAAAGGGATATAGGGGAGCCCATTTTACATGTTTTCCTTTGTTCCTTGAATTCAATCACTTGAAGCTCTAACGCATAAAATTGAGTTTAAACTCTGATATTCATTGGCACCATTTTGAATTTGAGACCTCGGTTCTTGTGGGTTTGATGTCCTTATTCTGTTCACTGTCAATGCTTCAGTGAGTACTTGCATTGAATCCGAGACTTCAGTCTTGTACACATAAAATTTGATCACAACCAAGAAGAAGAAGAAGTTCAAAAAGTTTAGAATTGCCAAAAATGCATAGTAGTAGTCCAGATGAGAAGCATTCAGGTTGTTTAGAATCCATCCTTGGTGACCATGCCTGCTTGTGATGTCAGAAACTGTTGAAAGAAGAAAGCTACTGATAAAATTTCCAATTCCCAGACTGGTAGTGGAATAGGATGTCCCAAGACTCTTCATGCCTTCTGGTGCTTGATCGTAGAAGAACTCAATCTTTGCCACTTCTAAAAATGCGTCTGCCATTCCCATAAGCACAAATTGAGGAAGCAAAATGAATATACTTAATGGAATTTGGTCCCCTTTTTCAACCAACCCATGTTCCCTGGCCACTTTCAATCTATACCTCTCAGTGAAAGATGCAACCATCATGATTATGATGTGGAAAACCATACCAATCCCCATTCTTTGAAGGAGGGTTATGCCTCTGGGGTTCTTTGTCAACCTCTGCATAATTGCAACAAAGAACCGATCATATAAAACAACACAAGTAAGCATAGATAATGTCACAAATCCTGCCAAGCTTGCTGGAGGTATCTCAAAGCTGCCAATGGCTCTATCAAGAGTAGTCCCCTGTTTTACAAAGAGGGTACCAATTTGAGCAATCATGGTGCTTGGAATAAATGTAGCTACCATAATAGGAATCATCCTCAACATTTGCTTTGTTTCCTCTACTTGGGTTACCGAGCACAACATCCATGGATCAGTGGAATCTGTTTTTACAGAAGCTTTGTTGAGGAACCTGCATTGATGCACAAAGAATGGATTTCAAAGAGGAATTTTAGACAACAGTTTAGAGACACAACAAAAATATGCAACTGATCATGCTAACCTCAATGTAGGAGTTGAATCAATCCTGAATTTCCCTTTCTTAGCATACTCTTCCAAGTCAAGTTCATGGAGTTCTTTAGGGTCACGTGGAAGAGGGACCCTCCATTTCCTTAGGGCAGCCACAATGACCCTAGCCATCCTAGTGAAGGGGCTTCCAGAGGGCACCCTGTGCCTATAGAAGGGCGTGCCTGCCAAGAAAATCACAATAGAAATCAAAAGCCCAAGAGTAGGCAGGCCATAGCCCAAGGTCCACCCCACATTATCTTGTATATACACCAGAACCGTGTTGGCAAATAGTGTCCCAAAAAAGATGCTAAACATCCACCAGTTGAAGAAAGATAGCTTATGAGCCTTCTCCTTGGGATGGAAATCATCAAACTGGTCCGCACCAATGGTTGAAATGTTCGGCTTGGTCCCGCCAGTACCCACTGCTAAAATGTATAATGCACCAAAGAATGCTGCTAGTTGTAAAGTTGAAGCTTTTTTGCAATCCTCCACATTGGATTGAGTACATGGTGGTGGTTTTAGTGAAGGAAGTGACACCGATAAAGTTAGCAATGACATTCCCTGTAACCATGTCAATCATTAGTTACAATAATATCAATCTCATCTTGATCTTATATTCATTCCCTGTTAAAGCGCTATCTTGAATTCGAAAAAATTAGTCTATCAGGTTAAGTCTCCACATATTTATACAACCACAACTCACATGTACATCCAACAATAGATGATGATAAGGCATGAGCATTTTTTTTTTTTACCCTTTTTTTTCAGACACGAGGAAGTGCAAGAACTGTTATGTAGGGGTAGAATAAATCCAGACCAGACGATACGCAAGCTGTTCCGCAGGAATAGAATAAATCCAGACCAGATAAGTTGTGATGTTCAAAGAGTGGTCCACCTTCCTATATTTTTCAACAAAGAAAACTCTACAGCCTATATATATCTGTAATGACCAAGACATGTTCCTACTTTTTTTCTTTTCTTTTTTTTTTTTTTTAACAAGTTGTCAAAAAGTGAGCTCGAAACCCGACCATGGGAAGGGAGAGTGCACCTCACAAGCTGGTAAGCTACTAATTGGCCCGAAGCACCAGGTGCATGACATGACATGTTCCTACTTGCTGCCTTATAGGACAGAATTTTGTATTTTCTGTTCAAACTTTTACACTCTGTTGTAAGTCTAAATGATTATAAATATTTATAATCAACGCTTACACATTTGACTAAGAAGTTGCAGAGTACTCTTGTTAGTTATTCTTGGTTTCACACTCCTCACATCAGTAATTGATATCGACTTAATCAAACTTTCAAATCACGACCTTAGATACTTTTCTCACACAGCCGACTAAGGGTGTGGTTACGCTCACACAGCAAATTTTAAGGTCATACAGTTTTGATTTTAAAAATATTAATTTAATTTAATTGTTAAAAATAATTAATAATTAATAAAATAATTTATATTTATTAGCACTTTGCATATTGAAATCAACATTATAAGTTGATATTTTTAAATATTATAATTAATTATTAAAAAAAATTATAAGCTAATAAATATTAGTCAAATTAAACATCATATAAATGGCCTTAATATTTGGTGTGTGTTCCTAACCACACCCTTTAGTAAGACTATCATATTTTACATATATGACACGGGTACATGTTCAACATGAATACTAGGAATCATTAATTTTAAGGGCCTAAGAGTTATATCCATAATCAATTTGACATATAATAGAAATATGAGAGAAGAATTTATTAGCCTCCGTTTGGGTTGAGGGAGTTGAGGGGGATGGGAAGGAGAGGCCTCTCCTCTCTTCTGTTTGGATAAAACTTATTAAGGGAAGGAACAGAGGGAGAGAAAGATGGAAGGGCGATGAACTCCCTCCAAATAGGTTAATTTTAATTCCTCCAATTAGAGGAAATTCAAAGGGATCTAATTTATTTATTTTTTATTTTTTTCAAAAATGTAACTAAAATTTTTATTTTAACTTTAATTTTAATATATAAATTTATAAAATTTTAATTTTTTTAAATTTATTTAATTGAATACAAAATATAATTCTTTTTTAATTTCCCTCTCCTCTCTCTTTTTAAATCTATCCAAACAACATTCCATGTGTCGTGACCAGTGACCATTTGTTGTCCCAAAGAACAACTCATGTTTTGCACTCTTATATCTCGGGTTCAATACTTTCCACTAACACCTCTAACATACTAAATTCTCTAATCATTTTCCTTATAAAAAAACAAAAATCTATCCAAACGAAATTAATATTATCCTTTACTCTCCTTTCCTTCCCCTTTCTTCACTTCCCCTCCCTTTCCTTCACTTTCCTTTACTAGCTTTCTAAAATAAAGTGAAGAGTTCGAGCATAATTATCTACTTACAGAGAGATAGATTATGGAAGCAATTACGAAGGTCCAGTAGCGTCCTAGATGGGCATCAGCAATATAGGCACCCAAGATTGGGGTCATCCAAATGGTTCCAACCCAGTTGGTCACATTGTTGGCGGACTTGACAGTGCCTTCATGCAGCTTCCTTGTTAAATATAGCACAAGGTTGCTAGATATGCCATAATAGGCCATCCGTTCAAACACTTCATACACTGCAAGTACATTAGCATACATGTTAATCACATGTTCAGAAACATTGATAAAAAATTGGCTTTGGAGAATATGTTCTTTCATATACAAAAGCCAAAAGAACTGTATACAAGGCATGATGCTTTGGAGAAAAAATCGAGGGCAAAACCAAGAACTTGGCTTTTAACATTAACTCTGTCAGGATTCGAACCCCTCCAATACTAAACATTTAACTTTCTTTTTCCAACTAAAAGGAAGAAAAAGAAAAAGAAAAAGAAAAAAATGAAAAGATAAGAGAGAGACAGCTTTTATGAGCAAGTACAGAAACATGTGGAGGACATTAAGAGAGGAGATGGAGCATTTATGGGAGGAGAAGGAGACCACAGAGAAACAAGAGTTGCAGTTGAACCAAAGTAAAGGTAATGGGAATTTTACCTTGACTGTGGGAAGCAATATCAATTACTAGAGAAAAATGAAACTAAAGTTATTCAGATAGAGGTGGGCAAAATTTTAGGATATCCATTACACAAAACATCTCTCAGCAGAGTTTGATCGAAAGAAACAAAGATTTCAAGATCACAGGCACAGCTTACATGAAGTAGATATAGAAAGGAATGCCATTACAGAACATAAAACTTCCATGTAATTGGAGCTAGATAAAAGAACAGTTGTTCTGAAAGGTTTTTGAAGATGGGTCTCTGAGATGACCAAAAAGAGAGAAAGGGAGAGGAGAGAGATACCAACAACAAAGGAGCAAGCAGTCCATCCTCCTCTTTTGGATCTACTAACTGGGTTTCCCTTAAGGTCCACGGTGCCATCCTGTGTATAATCATCAGCTCCATTTTCGATAGCCATTATTTTCTCGGTTTTCCCCCCCTTTTTTTCCTGCTAAAAACAGAGGAAAACAGATTTTCCTAGCAGAGAGAACGGGAGCTTATGTTAAGTGTTCTCGCCTAATCGATGGGCCTGTCTTTATAGGCTATAGCTATACACCCATAATCTCTACGGTAAAAGTTTGTATTTTTTGTTTTTTGAGCGGATTATAATTGGGATGCGAACTACAACGAGTGCACCTTTATAAAGTGACAAACGACCATATATAGGACCAAGAGAGCAGGTACGTAAAAGTTTGTTACTTAATTATTAAAAAAACCAAAAAAAAAAAGTTTGTTACTTAATCATTTTTTTATTAATCAGCTTATTGAGATAATCAAATATGTTATAACGGATGGACTCTACGTAGAATCAAGTAAAAAACTCCTCTCCTAGCAGATGCGTAAAGTGGTTGAGATTTTACATTGAAAATTTCAAATTTAAATATTGAAATGGATGGAAAGAGATTTGAGGAAGAAAAAAAAAATTTATTATGTAATTTATTATTTAATATATAAAAAATAATAGAAAAACTATTCTATTTCAATTTAATTAACATTTCATAAGGCTACACAAGTTTAAAGAGTCCCCTCTTTTTCTTTTTTTTTTAAGTGGACAATTCTCTATATATTGTCTATTAGTTCACTCTACATATTCATACCGCATGCAAGTTAAATTTGGAATCTTTTATTTCCGTTTGTAGAAGATTACTATGTTAAGAAACTCATTTAACAACCTCAATTATAGAGATAATTAAGATTAAATTTACCAATTTACCCTTTTATCTTTCTTAAATTAGAAGAAGAAAATGCAATATTCAAATATTTAATGGGTGGACACAAGCCCTGCCATGGCTCTTAAAGAATTAAGAAACAAAGACGTGGTTTTAGAGAAAAAAAAAGAGTTAAAGACATTATTGTAAATCTTTTTTTAAGGAAAAAATGAATATAGTTATAGGTCTCGAAAAAAAAAAAGAAAAAAGGAGAGCATACTTCATTTATTTCTGGTTCTGCCACTTCCTGGATTTTTACCTTCTTGGGTAAATAAACGTCCAAAATTGAATATTGACCATAGGTAGCCATGTGGATTTATCTCAATAAAGAAATTACTCTGTTTTTTCGCCTTACATTCTTTGAAATTATGGCAGATAATCCAGTTTCTCTCTTAATGAGAAAAAAAAAATGATTTTATTGATAGAAGAAGAAAGTAGAGGTACAGCAACATGTTATATATTACCGCCTCTACATCCTACCCGAACCCTACCCACAGCTATTATTACCTTGTTCTCAACAGTAATTTAGTTAGTTTATAGTGAAGGTCATTCGAACCCAAGTTAAATGGGTTTAAACTTTAAAGTCCAACCCTAACTTGTTTCAAGCAACAGCTATCATTATTTTCTTTAGGTATTTTTCTTTGAGCAATGCTAGGGGCACTCGCTTTTCGCACTCTCCGGTCAACACTTTCTCTTTTATTGGGCCACGTTATCTTGGTTCTAGAGAATGCGCTGAAAGCTTTTTTCAAGAAGCTTACGTGGCCCAATGAAAGAGAAAGTGTTGGCCTGAGAGTACCAAAAGCCAGTGCCCCTAGCATTGCTCTTTTCCCTTTTATCAAAGGAAGAACGCAACCACGTTGTAGGTGGTGGGTCCATTTGACTGGACTTTTTAAGTCAAATCATTAACATGTCCCTTTTATGGGTGGGGTTATTGCCACAGCCACTAATGTTAATGCCACAGCTTTTTTTAGTTATTAGACTATTATACCCCTTATTTGAATTTAACTTGCAGCCACCACCACTTTCTCCCGTGTGGGTTTATGGTCAAATAACTGAAAAAGCTGTGGCATTAACATTAGTGGCTGTGGCAATAACCCCACCCCCCTTTTATTTCATGTTTGAATAAGTATTGAACAAGGGTTTTAGACTTAATGGTTCGACCCCAAATCTTAAATGTTTAGGTAAAATGGTCGGAGTTTCGAACTCCACCACCATCGTAACTTCGAACTCCACTACTGTCGTAAATTCCACCAAAAAGCGACCTGATGGTCGCGCGCCTCATTTGAGAGGGTGGAATGTTCACTCGGTCTGAGAACCAGTTGTTAACAACTAACTCATACTAACTTTCTAATCATTATCCTTGTAAAAAAAAAAAAAGTCCTGGTCATGTTAATCAAATTAATATGGTTAAATATTTTTTTTGTCCCTCTATTATAGGAAAAAATTCATTTTTAGTCTCTTTATCGAAAAAATTTCCTTTTTGTTTCTTACTGTTTAAAATTTGACTTCTTTTTAGTCATTCTACCAGTTAAGTGACAGCATGACAAAATAATCTGTTAAATGTTTTGTTTTTTTTTCTTCTTAATGATGACATATGATTACACGTTGCAAAATTGATGAATTGGCAATAAAATTTTTTTTCCATGTAATCAATAGGTTCTAAAATAATTAAAAGAAAAAAAATCAATTTTTCCCTTTATCTTTTCATTTCACATTTCTATCCTCATCTTCTTCCTAAACCCAAATCCCCGATCCTTTCTACCTTTGCCTGAACTTAATCCCCCTCTCATCCATTGATTTCTTCTTCTTTGCCAAACCTTCCTCCATCAAAGCCCTCAAATCTTCACACCAATCTTCATCTCAATTAAAGCTCAAATCTTTAATAATTTGCCCACATTTTCTTTCCCTTTTTGTCTTATCCTCTCCTTTCCCTTCGTTATCATCATCTTTTTTTTTTTTAAACCTTTGTTGGGTTTGTCGTGAACCCAAGCATGACTTGGGTTCATTGCACCCGAGTTCATCTTGGGTTTGCGACGAACCTAGAGCACACTTGGGTGGCTTTGTCTTGGGTTCTTCGTGAACCCAAGATGAACCTAGCTCGCATGACTGGGTTGGTAACGAACCTAGCTCATGCTTGGGTTCTCAATCTCTACCCAAAAAAAAGCATGTTCTTCCCAAACAAACAACTCCAAAAACATCCAGCAACAAAATCGGAAATGAACCCAAGAACAACAAAAAATTCAGGAAATTAAAACATCATGAGACACATACATGAAAGTAAACTTAAATCTGTTAATTTTATTTATGGATTCATAAACTTAGTACAATGAAAATCTCATTCACAACCAAATCAAGCAGAATATTCCAAGATCTACGAGAAATAGGATCTTAAACACATGGTGCCAATTTCAAGGGGCCGATTGCTTTTGGGTAGCCAGTGCATGCCTGGGTAGGTTCATCGCGAACCTAGGTGAGAGCTGGGTTCATCTTGGGTTCGTGAGGAACCCAAGATACTGGGTTTGCGAGGAACCCAGGCTCTTGGGTTTGCGAGGAACCCCAGATCCTAGGTTCCTCACAAACCCAAGATCTGATTTTCAGAAGGCAAAGCTAAAAAAAAAGAAAAAAAGAAAAAAGGAAAAAGGAAGGTCGGAGGAAGCAGAGGATGAGACAAAAGGGGGAAGAAGATAAGGGTAAATTAGTAATTAAAGTCTCACAAAAATAATCTTTAAAATATTTATAATGGTAATTATGTAATTAAATGATTGTTTAGGATTATATTAGACAAAAAATTTTGCCATGTCATCAATTTTTACAGGTGGATTTTTCACGTAATTTAAGTAAAGAAAAAAATAAGTTTTTCCATTAATTAACATGTTACATCACCCAAAATTTAATGGAGGGACTAAAAATGGACCGGATTTCAAACAGTATGGACCAAAAAAGGGATTTTTTTGGTAAAGGGATTTTTTTGGTACAGGGACTCAAAAAGAGCTTTTTCCTATAATAGAGGGACTTAAAAGGGTATTTAACCAATTAATATAGATGCTCAAGGTGAGACCAAAAACCTATTTTTAGTCCTTTATTTTATTAAATGTATAGGTTTTAACTGATCACCTTATACTATAATACTTTTAACTCCCCACTTACTTGAACTAAAGAAAATAGCTCTCACTTTATGATATTTCGTTAGTTTCGTTAACTGACTGTTAACTCTATTAGCTTAAAATAGATTTTTATCAACTAACAATCAATTAAGAGTCACCCAATATAGTTAATAGTCAACTAACAGAACTATTCTATTAGCTAACTGTTAACTTTATTAGTTGAAAGTAGATTTTTGTTAACTAACAGTCAGTTAATAGAGTTAACAATCAACTAACAAAACTAACAAAATGTTATAAATGATAGTTATTTTCTTTAATTCTAATAGATGAGGGGTTAAAATTGTTATAGTATAAGGTGATGGGATAAAACTTATAAATCTAATAAGATAAAAGGCTAAAGTAGGCTTTTGCCTAAGGTGAGAAACAAACCACTCTTGTCCGAAACTAAGTGTCATTCTATTCTAAGTAGGTGTTAGAACTGTAATATCTAAAATTTTATAACCAAGTCTTTCTTCATCTTTAACATATTTCTTGTTTAAAAAAAACACATTTTAGTTGGGGTAAAGTTTTATATTAAATTCTTAAATTTATCTTTGATTTTTTTATTAAGCCCTTAGAGTTTTATTAAAGTAAATAAGTTTTTAAATATGGTAATTTAAGAAATTTAACTATTTTTTTATTGTGAACTTAATGCTTATTTGTATCTTATTTGTATAGATAAAGTGAATATATACTTGTTACGTCAGCAATGATATATTAATATTTTATTTATACAAATAAAGTATAAATGAGAATTAAGTTTATTATAAAAAATAAGATTAAATTATTTAAATTACCAAATTCAGAAACTTAATCAAAAATTTGTAATAAATTCAGGGACTTAATATAGGGTTTTGCACTTTAGTTGGTGTGTAGTTTACTTCTCTTCTTTTACCAAAATTTAGTTTTTGAAAAGCTTACACGTAAGATATTATTTGCAAAAATTCACTAATTTTAGCGTAATCACACAAATGATCCATCAATCTTTCATCAAACTAGAAAAATCAAAGTAAATTAGCATGCATAAACTAACCCAACGTACCGCACTGTACCGTAAAACCATGGGCTCGTAATCTTTTCTTTGTTCTCAGGGACGGAGCTCGGAGAAAATTTTAGGGGGCCAACAATTTTTTTTTTCTAGCACATAAATTTATTCTTTTTACTAAAAGTTTGCCATAAATGAATTTTTTTTCAATTTCAAGGATAAACAAGTAAACTCTATTTTTATTTTTAAGTTTAATTCTCCATCACATTTTTAAGTATATACTATAATATAAATTATAGAATTGTTTTTTATGAATCAATAAAAGATTATTTTCAAGGTACTTTAATTATTAAACTCAAAAAATCAAAGATGATAAATATAAGTTTGTTAGATCTTAATTAATTGTATATAAAATTAACTAATAATGAAAGAGATCAAACCAATTAAATACTCTTAATAAAGAATTCAAAACAAAATATATAAAGCAAAGTGTAATAAAGAAAAGTATATCCAACTGAGATGACTAATCAAACAATTAGTCTGTATAAAATAAAAGTTATATTCCATAAATAATTATTTAGAGACTCAAAATATCCAAAATTTCCCAATTATATCATTATCAAATACTAAAATTTGATCTAAATGCAAATAAATTCTGATGGTATAAGAAAATATAGTTGTTTTTAAAAATGAAATAAATATGAAAACTACCAAAAATAAAAATAATATTAAACATAATA